CAGGGTGTAGGGCGCAGGGTGTAGGGCGCAGGGTGTAGGGCGCAGGGTGTAGGGCGCAGGGTGTAGGGCGTAGGGTGTAGGGCGCAGGGCGTAGGGCGCAGGGCGTAGGGCGTAGGGCGCAGGGTGTAGGGCGTAGGGCGCAGGGTGTAGGGCACAGGGTGTAGGGCGTAGGGTGTAGGGCGCAGGGTGTAGGGCGCAGGGTGTAGGGCGTAGGGCGCAGGGCGTAGGTTGTAGGGCGCAGGGCGCAGGGTGTAGGGCGTAGGCGCAGGGTGTAGGGTGCAGGTTGTAGGGTGTAGGGCGTAGGGCGCAGGGTGTAGGGCGCAGGGTGTAGGGCGCAGGGTGCAGGCGTAGGGTGCAGGGTGTAGGGTGTAGGGCGCAGGGCGCAGGGTGTAGGGCGCAGGGCGCAGGGTGTAGGGCGCAGGGTGTAGGGCGCAGGGTGTAGGGCGCAGGGCGTAGGGCGTAGGGCGCAGGGCGTAGGGTGTAGGGCGTAGGGTGTAGGGCGTAGGGTGTAGGGCGCAGGGCGGCGTCCACCCCTGACCGCTGAGCCAGGCAGCAGGCCTAACGGTGAACTAACGCTGCGTCTTCGTCACCCTGACAGAAAACCACAAGTTAGGAAGGAGAAAAACACGGCAATAAATCCGAGAGGGAAGGTCGACTTTGAAACGGTTTATTTATATAGAGCTACAGCCATGCACTGTGTTACCATAGCAACGACTGCTTTCCTGTTCCTCAGGAGGGAAGAGGGCGTCCCGCTCTCACTTATAGCCCCGCCTACAACCGGTGGAGCTCAGTTAGAGCAGCAGAAAGGCATTCTGGGAGCTGTAGTTTTTACATAGTTCTTCTGTTCTCTTCCCTCAGGTTCCGTACTGGTACCAGGGAGGCGGTTCTGATCCGGTCAGAGTTCTCCAGTGGGTTGGAGGGAAAAGAAGCCAAGAAGAAGAAGAAAGAGGAGGAAGAGGAGGACTGATGAAGGATCAGAACGTTCTGTAGTTCTGAGTAGAACCCGGTTAATGGACGGATATGGACCGGTACCATCCGGGTTGAACAGAACCACATCACTGGACTAAACATTCTAGAGTAAATCTTATCGTCAGAGTGAGACGTCCTGCTTCTGAAGATCTTTGTTTTTTATATCCTCTGTTGATTTTACTGTGAAATAAAAAACTGACGCGATCTGGTTCTGGTTCTGGTTCTGCAACAAAGCCCTTCAATCAGAGAGACCCAGAACCGGGTCAGCTTTGGTTCTGGACGCATAGAGAAGGTTCCTGCAAGGAATGGATCAGCTTGTTTCTAATTAGGCAGCAAATTCTCTTCAGAACCTGAACAGAACCTGTGACGTGTTCTTAGAAACATCTGTGGTTCTGGTATCCTGGTGATGCGGTTCTGAACCTCCGTCCATGGCCACGGGTCCAGTTCAGCTGTCTGATTCTACAGCCAACCGGATCAGAACCGCTTACAAGCAGATTCTGAAGAACTAACTGAACCAGAACCAAAGAGCTGCAGCCTGACCCGCTTCCACCTGAACCGTGCGGCCTGCCGACCCGGCAGCAGGTTCTGGTTCTGCAGAATCCGAGGAGAACCCTTCATGGGCAGCAGAACCGGTCCACTACTGGTGTAGTTCATCCCGTCTAGTTCATCTATATCTACAGCCCCACTGAACCAGAACCAGCTAGAATCTAAAGGAGTTCTGATCCTGATGGTTCTACGGAGGCCCAGGAGGCTCACTGACAAATAAAGCTTCAATCCATTTAACTTTATTGTTGTTTAATTTATTTATTGTCATTAAACCGTCAGCAGTTCAGAGCAACAGAATTCCCTCTCTGCATTTAACCCCCCCCCCCGGGGAGCGGGGGGGGATAAGGGTCTGGCTCAGGGACCCAGAATGCAGTCTGTGGGAGTGGGACTCAGAATAACTCTATTC